AAGGTATTATAAAAGCAGAGTCTGTTAAGCAGTAGCAAAGTCCAATAATAATCAGGACTAACTGGGAAGAATGGACAAATGCCAGGCCAAACGTGTCAAAAGCACCCTTCAGGATGCCTCTCACAGGAGAGGTGAAGAGTAAATATTTTAGTGGACTTATTCAAATTGCAGCTAGGAAAAAGAGTAGGAAAACTTGTAGGGTAAATGTCAGTCTTTTATAATTGGCAGAGCACTTTTGTATTACATGTGTTTTCCAAATTATTTGGAAAAAAAAAAAAACAACTGAAGAATGCTCAGGTGCTTTTACACTTTTAAGTTTCCAAAGGTGTTTCTACTTACCTAATATCACATGTTTGTGCACTAACCATGTGAAAACCTTGCTTCAAGAAAGTGAATTTCAACCACACTTTGTCCCAGTTAGAGCAAATACCACAGCAGTCATATTTTATAGTGAGGGCTTACGAGTATATCTTATTCTTTCTGAGGTTAGGATAGAGGGGGACCTTTCTCACTCCTGACACCTAAAGAGAATACTTCCCTCCTGGACCCTCCCAGCTCCTGAGACTAGGCAGGGAGGCTGTGGTTCTAAGCTGGGGCATCAGTGAAGGGCAGAAAGGACCCAAAACTGTGTAGAAGTGGAGCTTCTGTGGTGGTGCTCCCTGGTTCCTTTCTTAAAGATAGATGGAGGCATAGAGGGCAAAGTCAATCCTGTAAATAGCAACTGACAGCCAACTGCCTGAAGAGAGCTTGGGTAGGCCCTGAAGGTGTTAAGAAATGAGTAAACACCACTGAGAAAAAAATATTGATAATTACGTTTAGGAATATTGTGTAATAAGGTAAGTAATGGAGATGTTCATTAGCGTTTTCTACCACTGAGAAAAGTTCTTACAATCCTATGCTAAACCTTCTAGAGGCTGAAAAATTTTTTTCTATTATCTTATATATGATATATTGCTGACAACATATCTTACAAAACAATGAACATATTGTCCAATGATCATCGATCTTTCAGACGGGACAATTATTACAATAAATCACATTACTTCCTTGAAGCTCTTCACCTCAAAGAAACAATAATATTGAATTTATATTCTATAAAGTCTATCTATGTGGGAAATATAATGTTTAATTTTTGATTAATTTAAATCTGCAAACTTTAGACAGAAACAAAACACTTAAAAAGCAGAACTTCCAATTGTGTAACTAAGAATACATTTTGGACATTATCTGTATTTAACAGCCTGGGCATTTAACTCTCTGTCTGTATAAAAAAGATGTTCAGAACAAACATCTTCTCTTCACTTTTCCTCTCACCCCTCATCTGGGTAGATTTTATTTATGCATTAGATGACCTTTTTGGCCATTAGAACCATCTTGCTTCAGCAGTTAATTAACACAAGTACTATAATTTAATACAGTTAATGCTACTTGATGCCCTTTAATGTACTTTCCATTAGTAATATTATTGTAGTATTACCCTGTAAATTAAAATGAGATCAAGACTAAGAGAGCTACTCTTTAATTAAGGTACTGGCACACTCACTCCTCTATTATTCACTAGAGAAAATCACCCTGATTTACTGAAGCAGGACATCCATAAGTCAGAATTAGTCCATGAAGATTATTAGGTTTATTGAACAATGTAAGTAACACAGAATCACTAAGAATGCCAACAGCCATGTGTCTTCTTTTTCCTCCATTATCTTAATAAATTACACAATAAGATGGAGTAAATGGAAGCCAAAAAAGTGTGGGCAAAAGAGGAATAAAATTTTTATGATGTGATTATAGTTGTTGTCACCACTGAAACTGGTATCAGATGTGTCACATGCTAAAAAAGAACATAAATGCCACACTGGTTTAGTAACAATCAAAACATCATTTTTTACAGAAAATTATATTAGCTAGTATAAAACATAAAGGCTATATACACATGTGCACAGGAAGTGGAGAAATGGAGGTTATAGTCTTCAGTCAGTTCGAACAAAGACACTCCACTGTTTTTGTTTCATAGCTTAATACTTCAAGTGGAAAAAACCTGTAGTATTATGTGTCCACTATTGTAAGGAAATTTACCCATTTTCCCCAAACAACTCATGCCAATTCTCACATTATGGTGGGGGTGGAGGTGGAGTGACAGATAGAAAAATATCTATTATCATGATCAGACACAGACACGTAAAAGTAAGTTAAACGTTGCAATCACATCAAGGCTGGAGAAGAGTGGGCTGAGGGAAGCAAAGACTTCAGTTATATTTTGCAAAGTTTTTATTTATAATATTCTTGAAAAGAAACTTTTAGAACTTTATTTTAGAGATGATCAATTAATGTTCAGTCCCTCTATAGATTATTTACTATGCAGGAAGAAGAAAACTCAGGATTTTAACTCAATGGGAATTTTCTGCTCTGTATCAGTTTCTTTGCTGAAAGGGCTGCGAACCAGGCAACAACTTAACAGTCCCCTTTGGTGGCACCATTTTCCTTATATAACTTAGAAGCTGGAGACATGCCTGAGCCATCAGGCCTTAGTTCTTTAGTCCCTCCTCTAAGACTAAAAATACCCCAGCCATCTGGTGCCTAGCACAGTACATGCCAGCATCAGTTTTGCCCTGAGGAATTTGGACAGAGTTTGGAAGTGACAGAGTGGAACCTAATGGAAGGGGCTCACCTCTATTGGACCTTTCTCTTTTGCCCAGCTGCTTCCTTACCAGCTTACAGTTGACTGGTGAACAGGAAAAGATAGAGGAGGTGAGTTCCAGAGAAGGGAGGAGGGCTCCTCTAAACTCCTCAGAACCACTGAAATGCAGTTGAAGATAGTACTAGGATAAGGGCTAAAAGATAACTGATAAATCTGATGGGATTCTACACTCTTACCATGGCACCTTTAAGTGACAGTATGTTTGACCCCAGTAAAGAATGCACAAAAGTGCCTTTAGCTTTAAAATATACTTTACATTCTCTTGACTACTCAGAGGAAACAAAAATAAATATCTAATGACAGAAATAAGGCCCAACAATGGTTATCTCCCAGCCAAAAAAACATCACAAGACTGCCTTTTTTTATAAGTGCAAAATGAGAGTTTTAGAAAAATTGGACTATAAAGATTTTGGCTTAGATTAAGGAGTTCTCAAACTGTAAGTAAACTGACCTAGGTGATTCTACCTAACAATATAGATCATGCTGGGCTTCAAATTTAATTTTGCAATTATTCTTGTAGATAAACGGAATACCTGTTACTTTGTTATGGTTTGCTATTATTAACAATATCAACGTCAATTATTTTTATATATTACATGTTCCCAACAATAAGATACTGGAAACTGATATTGTGCTAAAATATTCACAGGTACAATAGCTGCTTTTTATTATAAATCACAAGCTCATATTTAAGGTCAGAGCTCCACACTGCTCTCTCATTATACCCTGGTAATATATGAATCCTAGAACCCGCAAGCTCAATATTGAACCAGTGCATATTTCTTTCAGAACATTTCAGATATTGCTCTAAAGATAACTTCACCAAACTTCACCAAGCCTTGGTTAAAAGTTTTTAAAGGGGCTCCATAGCTAAAGACGCGACTCTTCCATGAGAAACGTGAAGCTAGAACAAAGCTGAGAATAGGTGGCCATCAGTTCCTGCTGCCCTCCATAAGTAAGATTCCATACGGTAAAATCCCTCTGCCACTGTACTGAGTTCATGCCCACCACCTCATTCTGTATGCCCGCTATGGCCCTCACTTAGCAGCAGTGACCATTCTTCCAGTGCACAAGTGTATAAGCACTATCACTAAAGGTGGGCTGAGACAACTCTCTGAAAGCCCAGGGAGGGAGTCTCAACACTTCTCTAGTCTCTGAGCACTAGGCTGCCATAAGAGATGCTGGAAGCCAGTAAACTTAATGAATCCTGACTTGCTGTTTAGCTAAACATACACAATATATGCACTGTTTACATATATGATTAAATAAACCTACGCAGTTAACTAAAGCTACGTGATATATGTACTGTTTGTGTTCTTATTGTCATATATTTGATTTAAAGCTCTACTGGCATTTTTAGAATGATTTTTGCTCTGCTTCACATTTCCATTTTTCCCCCCATTGTGCTCTGTACTCCACTCTTATATTTAGTTTTCCTACCTCATCATCTCAAGCTTCAACTCCCATCAGCTGGTTATTCTGGTAGTATGCCACACAAAAATTAGGTTGAAAATCTCTGTTGGTGGTCTTGGTTCTCATTATTCAAGTTTTTTATTTAAATGTCTTCAAAGTCCTTGGAAACCTGCTCAACTGTGTCTCTGGTACATTATCAAAACAAGGATATACCTGACTGTGAGCATTAATGCATTTGCACTTTGGTCAGTCTGTAATTGACCGACAAAATGAAGACAGCCTGACTCATATTTTAAATGACAGCTTATTGTTTTAAGATAATAACATCCAAAACCCTGAAAAGTAAAGCTTTCCCCTCTTTAACAAATGCAATGTTTCCTAAATGCTTTTGGTTCTGATTTAATAAATGTAAAGAGATATAATTTTCATTTTCAGAACTTTTTTAATACTATGTAACAAAACATAAACAGAGAGTGGCACCATGCTGAAACCCTCTCTTGAATTAAAAAACAATATTAAGATGTATTTCCTGTTTTCCAGTTCCTTTTACTGAGACGCTGGCTTTGTTGCCCTGGCTTCCTCGCCTTAAGGACTTAAACCACCCCCTGACCTAGAGAGTTCCTTGGTTTCAAGTAAGATGCTTTTCTTTTTCGCCTTTGGTCTAAACGCTATGAAATCCCGCCAGGTTCAGGATCAATGACAGCAAGTCTGGGATCACAAATTGCTGCTGAGGGTCTCAAATGCCTCAGAACTTACCTCTAGGCCGGTATTCCTGAGGAAATCTTGCAATAGAAAGTGACAAATGTCACTCTACAGCTCCACAACAAGCAAATTGGCCTTTTCTTTGGACACACCCATTTTCATTCAAGCCAAACAACTGTTTTCTTACCTTCCATGCACCTTTATGTCTGAGATTGCGTAAAAGTAGCGTGCCAAGTGTAGCTCATCTACAAATATTTCCCCGACAGCGGGTCTCAAAAGCCTTATCCTCAGGTCTGTGACTGTAAAGAAATCTCTGAGTTTCTTGGTGGTATCCAGTTGTCCGTAGAGGGAAGCCATATTACGTAACCAAGGTCCGGCAAAAAATGCGAACCTGTCTTTGATTTCAAAGTGGATAATTTTGCTATTTGTCGTATAACCCGTGGAGTACTCTTCAGTACAAATGATTTCTAAGACCGTATGCTGTGATAAATCCTTCACGGATTTAGGATCCATGTGAAAAGCGTCTAAGCAGTCTGTGGCATAATACTGATACGGCTGCCACGTTCGTCCATAGTCAAGAGATTTCTCCAGGATCATTTGGTCTGGACGCCCGGATTCAAAGGTAATAACTATGTTGTCTGTTAGCTCGATAGTTTTGCTCCAAGATAGAGTGATGTTAACCTGGAGAGGCTTGGGATACTCTTTCCAAGTAGCAGACTGCCAAAAGGTGGAGGGATGTCTTCCTTCAAAGTCAAACATCAGTTCAGGTGGGTGTGCCAGTTCTGGGGTACTTGCATCACACTCATTATTGCACATGTAGGGGTTGCCCTATGGAAGAAGAACAAAAGAGGGCGCGTCAAAACACTGCCATGACACAAATCTTGCCATATTGCTATTACTAAGTAGGAGGCTAGGAGAAAAAGGAAGAAAAAAAAAAACAAAACCTGTTTGCAGCAATCATTTTTATTTGCCATAACTGGATTCTCCTCTTTAATAGCTTAAAAAAGAGAGAGAGACAGAGAGAGAGAGAGACAATATGGTAATTTTCTTGTCTTGTTTCCTTCCATGATCTTTAAGAAATGAAACAGTTTATTTATCCCATATGTGTTAGACCCATAATGTGATCCCAGAAGCACAAAGACATGGAGCAACTGTCTAACAGCTCAATACTTCCGCATCCCCTTAGAAAGATGCTATAGAAAAGCAAGGAGATTCCTCTGCACCTCAAGGGCGTTCCTCAAGAGCACAGGTTTTTAAAAAGTCATTTTTCAAGTGAAGCTTTAGAATTTGCAATGAACCATAGATTTGCTTGGGAGACAATACCCCCATACAACATTCAGTTTCTTTTTGCTCCACCTCAAATCCATCACTCTTAACAGGGTCCCTGCTTCATAAAGCTTGCTTTTAAAGCATTTACTTTGTTCACCACAAATCATTAAAATGTGGTACACTCCAGGCTCTGGGGCTTGGTCCAAACATCTGCCATCCTATTAGCTAGAGGCAAGGGGATCATTCAGGAAAGACTTTGGGCGGGGGTGTGCTCCAACTTATCAGGACAGGAAAAGCCAGCACTTAATTAGAAGGTTTTGGCAAAGGGTCACAATCACTTGATGTGTTTACTCGGTGCTGGCCCACAGTGAGCTCTCCATGGATGTTAGCCATTATTATTATTTTCTTTCACACAAAGGCTAATTCGCGTTCCACTCCAACAAGAAACTGAAAAGTCTCCTTGTCATATCACAAGTTACAACACCACTTATGTGAAACTAAATGGCTGCTCTCAGGTTTCATCAGTAGACTGATACTATGGCAAACAACTGGCTTTCCAATTTGGGTTTCATTTTGTGTTTTTAAAAAATGGTATCATTTGGAGTCAACTATTCAGGTATTTCTCTAGTATCCTGTAGTGGGTAATTATAACCACGGATGGGTAAAAGATTCAATCCTCTGACATTGTCCCTAGGCTTTTTTTTTTTTCTTCTTTTTTTTTTTTCATGAACTAGGAGCTTTCCATCATATCTGCAGGATGCATAAGCTGAGTCTCAAATAATGAATTTACACTTTAGACACTGATGCTCAGTTACTGGCTGACTCCTTTGAAATATGAGATGAACATTGGAGACTTGCTTCAGCCTCCCTAGAGGCAACTTCCTATCTAGTCAGCTAAAACTTTCACTCTCTCTTTCCCATTAATGCAACTGAATCCTAAAGCTGGCAACAGGTTTGGGGGTCTGAGTATAACTGAGAAGGGGCAGGAGAAAAGAGAGAAGGTACATTATTTGAGGAACAGAACTGTTTTAAAAATATATTCAAGGCATCAGTGATAGTGGAAATGTTTCTGTTCTCTCTTGAATTTCAATATCCTATTCCTGATCCCAGCGTCTGTGGCACTATTTATAGTATCCCCTTCAAAATGAGCCAAGGGCGGGGGGGGGAGATAAATTTCTGTTCCAGGTGGAATAAATCACCAAATTTATTATTATTTAAACTCTTTTAAGCATACCAGAGAGCCAAATGCATAGCTCTGCAAACTGGCAAAGACTTTTTATGGAGGGCTATAAATATTGTGGAATCTGTCAGGATTTATAAATTCTAAATATATGGAAATGCACATTTTACTGGACGGGGTCAGATTTACACAAATCACACCTTCATTTGAAATTTACTGAAAAAATATGGTCACTTCAAAATTTACCAGCATGTAGCCATCTGCACAATCATTAACATGGATGCTACCACCTTTCTCCTGACAAAAGTGTCTTCATCTGAGGTCAAGGATACTGAAACACAGGAAATCAGCTCTGCGGGATACACCAAAGTGAGTTATCAGACATTTGTATTAAGTCTTGTTGAAAGACAGCATTTCTTCCACTTCCACTTACATACACAGAGCTTCTGAGATGGGGACAGAGTGCTGAGATTAAAAAAAAAAAAAAAAAAGGCACAGCTAGCTGATTCTGGGTGTGGGTCAGTAATAATAAGCCTGTCTTAAAAAATATGCTTGAAGATATATATTTAAGAAGCACTCATTTCCACCTCTGATAAAAGGTGTTGACAATACCCTGTATTTATTTAGCATTTATGGATCAGCTGCTTTACATGTATTATCCTGGGTAATCCTTTTCATCTCTATCTTACAGAAGAGACAATTGAGGCATAGAGAAGTGTTAAGCAACTTGCCCAAGGTCATATAACAGAGTGAGTAAGTGGTGGAGCCGGAACCCACTTTCTCTGCACCTGATCTGGCCCTTTCAACTCCTAAGTCAATGGAGCTCCCTATATGGAACCTAGTTATGGGAGCAAGAGTAGGCTGGCAGAATAGAAGAACTATGACCAAGCCTCAGGTCCTCTTGCGTTGGAGAGCCCTAATGAGCATGATCATACCTCTGAGAGGCCTTGACATTAAGAACCTTCCTTAGCTTCATGTACTACCCAGTTTCAGAAACTTATTTGATCATGGAACTTCTTTTTGGTTTTAGTAATCCCTACTTGTATACCACATAAGTAGAGTCCTAGAGAGCACCCTTTGAGATTCTCTGCTTGTATTACTCTTAAAATTGCAAACACGTGGATGGAATGCCAAACAACAGGGCACAACCTAAAGCTTTAGCTCTTTAATGAAGGTGTAGTCAAGTCTTACACTCTTTGCTTCTGTTCCAGAGGGACATGCTTCCACTTGGACTGAGAAGACACTGAACCCAGGAAAAATGCTTACTCTTACATCCAGTTGTCAGCTATAAAAATGCACGCTGGGAGGAGGGGAAATTTTCATTTCTCTGCACTGATTTGGTGCCTTAGACACCAGAAAAAAAATGAGAGAAAAGCTGTAATTATTGACTGCTTACAGTATTACTATATTTGAGGCACTTGTCTTGGCTCTCAGGATATAACAGTAAACAAATCCAAGTCCTTGCTTTTAGAATAGCTTCCATCTTAGTCAAGGGAGATGTGCTAAAAAAAAAAAAAAAAAAGCCAAACAACTAAACAAAACAAAAACAGATATATAATTCTTTATAATGTTACATGATGATAACTGCTATATAGAAAAATAAAGCCAGTTGGAGGGGAGAATGGTGTTGGAGAAAGGAAACTGATTGTAATTTTATACTGGGAGGTGAGAGAAAATCTCGCCTGAACAATACAACATTTGAGCAGATTAAGAACAATTCCTAGTTTACACAGGAGATAATCAGAGGTTAATCAAAATAATAATTTCATACTTCATATGACTCTACTCCTAGTGATAATTTTAGCAGCACAATGATTTACTAAAATCATTGAGTAAACAAATCATTTCAAATGAAAAACTACACTAACGAATGCAGATACCAAAACCCAAGAATAAAAAATTTAACAATTCATATTTCATAGCATCCATGCTCTTTTAGGAGATTAATGATTGATGACCATTAAGAATTGATGCTTTCAAATTCTGGTGCTGGGGAAGACTCTTGAGAGCCCCTTGGACTGCAAGGAGATCAAACCAGTCAATCCTAAAGGAAATCAATCCTGTATATTTATTGGAAGGTAAAGGAAATCAATCCTGTATATTTATTGGAAGGACTGATGCTGAAGTTCCAATGCTTTGGCCACCTGATGTGAAGAACTGACTCACTGGAAAAGACCCTGATGCTGGGAAAGATTGAGGGCAGGAGGAGAAGGGGGCAAGAGAGGATGAGATGGTTGGATGGCATCGCTGATTCAGTGGACATGAATCTGAACAAACTCAAGGAGATAGAGAAGGACAGGGAAGCCTGGCATGCTGCAGTCCATGCAGTTGCAAACAGTCGGACATGAGACTGAGTGACTGAACAACAACGAAATAACTTACTGAGAGATGATGACATTGACAGAAAATCATATGAGGGAAAAAAAAGAAGTCATTCTGGTTCCCTGCATGTTAGGTGAGAGAGGAAAAGAAGAAAGCCAAAGCTGAAAATCTTATAATTCTAGAAAGACAAAGCTGGAGGAGAGATTTTATGCTAAAATATTTAGTGTAAATATTTCACAAGGGTGTGATCGGTAGTACTGTTGTTACAGAGAATTATCAACTCAAAAACAATTGCGGTTAAAGGGATTACATTAATTAAAATTTCAGCTATTTCAACCACACCCTAATCCTCTCTAATACAATCAACAATAAAATTTATAAGAAAAACAACTTATTCCTCCTTGCAAAAGCAAAGAACACTTCTAGCTGCTAAATCTAATAGACTCAGGCATTTGCAAGTGTAAGTAATTATTTTGTGGCCAGCAGGCAGTCTTAAATAGATCTTAATTTAAGTCATACAAGGAACAGATCCTTAGCTGATTGTCTATGGACAAAGCAGAAGATATTTATGGCTGTGCTGATAATATTTACACCATTAAGAGATGTCTAGAGAATTAAACAGACACTGCTGCTAAATATTCAATATTTGTATAACAATTAGAAGACTGTGATGCTTAACTTCATTTAAAAAATAATGTAATATTTTACTACTGAGAGAAATGAAGGTAGTTATTAGCACTTTGTAGCCAAAGTGGAATGCTGTTACTCTTCTTTAATGTGCTTTCAGAACTTAGAGGAATAAACAAAATTTTAGATATGTTCTTACTGTTTCTATGGACAGAAGTGTCTTCCCTCTCTTAGTTCAGTTCAGTTCAGTTCAGTTCAGTCGCTCAGTTGTGTCCGACTCTTTGCCACCCCATGGACTGCAGCACACCAGGCCTCACTGTCCATCACCAACTCCCGGAGCCTACCCAAACTCATGTCCATTGAGTCGGTGATGCCATCCAACTATCTCATCCTCTGTCGTCCCTTTCTCCTCCCGCCCTCATTTTTTCCC